AAGGTACTGGGAACTCTGAGAATGACATATATAACCAGGAACACGACAAAGGTACTGGGAACTCTGAGAATGACATATATAACCAGGAACACGACAAAGGTACTGGGAACTCTGAGAATGACAGATATAACGAGGACCACGACAAAGGTACTGGGAACTCTGAGCATGACATATATAACCAGGAATACGACAAAGGTACTGGGAACTCTGAGAATGACATAGATAACCAGGAATACGACCAAGGTACTGGGAACTCTGAGAATGACATATATAACCAGGAACACGACAAAGGTACTGGGAACTCTGAGAATGACATATATAACCAGGAACATGCCAAATGTACTGGGAACTCTGAAAATGACAGATATAACCAGGAACACGACAAAGGTACTGGGAACTCTGAGAATGACATATATAACCATACGTCTTCTGCTGATACATAATTAAATGGCACACCACTGACACAGCTCGCAACTCCAATTGACAGACGGAATATTCTCACTAATTCTCAATCAAAGACCAATGTGTTTCCTACATGTCTTCTAAGCAATGCCTCAAAGTTCTACTTTTTAGTATTTTATCATGAACAAATCAATGAATTAGTCAACGGCTCATTGTGTTTCAAACGGTAATAATAGACCACCGTTAAAGAAGCCCGAGTTTGACAAAGAGTAAATTAAATACTTTCAGGTAGCAAATTTGCCATTTTCGTTTAAGATTTTAGATCAAATTTTATCCAAGAATCATGCGGTGCATCTCCACGGAAACAGTCTTCATGATGACCTGCCATCAGCCTATTACGAAGGATAACCTTCACTGCACGAGGGCGTAAGAAATGTACCTGCTGGCCCTGTTGCATGATCGTAAGAGGCGAATACATTTGGGATCTTTTCTCTTCTTTCAAAACAACTTTCTTCTTCCTAATGTCTCCGTAGACAATTTCTTACTTTTGGCCTTTAGTTGAGCGTTCGCCCCTGTGAGGACGTCGTTGGGTTCTGTCCCCTGGCCGAGAGTTAACGCTCAGCACTTTAAGAGTGGGACGACTGGTCTGCCCGTTGTCAGTTTAATGTGACCGGGTGGGTGTCCTGCTGGGTGTCTTCGGCAGTATGTTTCAGTGAAGAGGCACTATAAAGTTGGCATCAGTTCCGCGCTATCACAAGGAGACAAACACTTACATATCGCAACCTCCCAAAACACACACGCATACACTACACGCATGCATCTTGCACACAGGGGAGGCCGTCCTAAAATGACCATAGTTGTTGATAGGACGTTAAACAAAACAATACCAAACCAAACCAAACGAAGGATAATCTTCTACGTGTGCACAATGCCATTGCTGTAGCCTTATACAATACAACTTGCGCTTTGACGTCATTGATCATCAAACATTTTTTATATTTATTGAATATGATAAGAGTAACGGATGCTTTTTGAATGACATACAACTGTGTCTCGCCCATAGAGATGACTTATCATCCCGTATTATGACCAACAGCCTGCTGCTATCGAACAAGAATGACAAATATAAATTCTTAACTTATTTCATAATTATTGTGAAAATAAATAAAGTTTAATCTTTAAAATATAACCACAATATGGGCAATCAGTCTGTTGCTTTTAGGGCTGCTCAGGGGTCGGTTTTAGGTCCATGCACGTATTTTCTATATTCCGAACAACCAGTGAGATTCGTCGTCGCTGTAGCATACTCCATTACTGTTACGTGGATGGCACTGAGATCTACATGATAATCACATCTCATAACAACCGAGATGCCAAATCAGCAAGTCTGGAAGCCAGTCCGACGGACATCAGTCCTTGGATTAGTGTCAATATGTTGAAGCTAACAATCTATCGCATCTTTCCCGAGGGAACTGTTCTTCTTGTAGTGAAGCCGTTATTATAGAAAGTGTTTCAATAAATTATCATAAATAACGTTCATCATTACAAATGTTAATAAATAAGTTAACTAATGATTAAAAACAAATATCATACAATGTCCTTAATCGGAATACGAGTCTTTTATTGTTATCACTATCAAGAACATGAAAAGTAAGCTGCAGCCGAATGTTGGCGACAACACTTTTAGACGGTTCCAACTATCAGGAACTTAGGTGTATATTGTGACAGTTCTATGATCATGGAGGAACAGGTTAACGCTATGGTAAAGTCACGCTACTACCAAGTCCGAAATATTGGGTGCATCAGGTATTTAAAATACCATAATTCCAAGTACAACAGTGGTACATTCGCTGGAAACCTCTCACCTGGACTCCGAATCCCTGCTGTGTGACTCAAAATATCGAATCGTAACCTATGGCAACAACAGTTCCGGAAAGCAACAGCTTTGCGGAAAAGCGTCTCATCTACTTTCAAAGTAAAAGATATTAAACATTAGCTGCGTACAGTAACCTGTTTGTGATTTGAGTTTTATTTTTTGCCCAAAATTTTGGGTTTTAGATCTTTGTCAATAACCATGTTAATACATATTGACTGGTATATATATTTTGAGCTATATGACTGATCGTTGAAGACAGTGTATATCTTACCTAAGCTTCTGAGAATAATTCAATACTCCATGATTTGAGGCGCTATATGACATTTTATATAATAATAATAATTATTATTTATAGCGCATGCGTGGGTTGATGCTGCTGTGTAGACCTGGACTGCGTCAAATTTATTCAAAAAGCCTGTACTTAGAAATGAGTATATGACATTATGACAATATAAACATTTGGGAGTAATCGATCATTTTTAAAATTATGTAGTTTTCACATTATCTACATCGATGAATTTTTGAGTAATTATCCCAAATATTTCACATTAATCAATGTCAAAACATGCACGAAAGTGATAATATATTTCAGGATAGTGACATAAACCTATACCAATATTTACAGTTTTATTTCATTAAGCACTAATATGTCGACCCTAGGTGTGAATTTAACAAGATTTGTTTAATTTCAAAAGCAATTTTTTTCTTTACTGACATTATGACGTAAACGATGTTTATTCAAACGAACTAATCGGTGGTTAGACGTAATGGCGTGCTTGGTTGTAACTGAACTTAAACGTGCATTACGCTCATTGAGTCACATACTTTGAACCTTATCGCATGCATGTGCGGTGAGATCAACTTTACTATTATACTCTCAGAAATTTAAGCTATTAAACACAATAAGAAAGATAATTAGCCTTGTAAGGTGTGACACACAATGTACTGTCGACGTAAGACGGATCAGATAGATAAAGGAAAGTGAAAGAGATCATGGTCAATATTGTCAACAAGAATTAGATATCAAGATAAATACTTCTGATTGAATGACTGCAGTTTACCAAACACACCTGTGTAAAATAGATATAGAGATTTGCAGATGTGAATGTCATAGGAGATTGTAAAAACCTATTTGTTAAATAAACTATGGCAAATTAGTCGTGCCGTAGTATGTATCATGTACTTTAGGCCTTGTATAGATCACCTATCGAATGTATATTTGCAAATTACTAATACTGACCCTTTAAAAGGTTAACACATTTCAATATACATTTATTTCGCAATCTACCCACGTGTAAAATGGCGAATCTGTTCAGGAATTGTTTTTATAGAATTTTTGGTTTATGGTTTAGAGGAACCACTCTTCATAAAAACACCCCCAAAACCCTATCACTGCAGGTATAAGATAAAGTTAAACGCGTGCTATCGTCATATAATTCAACGACACTGTTAGACAACTTTAAATACATCGCAAGTCCAAAACATATAAAAGCATTATCTAGAATATTTTGAAACAACATCTTATGACACCAAACTGATGCTGTCAACTCATTGTGATTTCTTTTATAATTGTGCGCAATTTAATCTGAAATATTATCTTGATGCCAATATACTTAAAGAAGAAAGTAGTTTTAATTGGTTTAATAGTGAAATGTCAGTAACCTGCATTACTAGCTTCACTGTTACACAGAAATTTAATTGACTTTTATGTCTGTCTGATAATAGACTCCTCCAGACTTCATCGAGGTGGTGACTCGACCGCTGGAATTGCCAATTTCCGTTTACTGTCACATTCTACGTTTTCTTTCTGTCACATTGCTGTCATGTCCTTGATATCTGTTTTTTTCCTCATTTATTATCATTGCTTGAAAGAATTCCCGACTTCCTGTTTACAATAAGCACTGTACATAGGTTGTATGATTGACATTCTTGCTGCAGTCGCTGACCAATTCAACCACTGACATATCATTTCTTTTGAGCGAATGCAGGACATCACATTGAATTGTCAATGGACGATGCATAAAAAAACTCATATTAAAATAACAACTGTTGTCTCTGTTCATCCCCGGCAAAACATTTTTGTTCAACATCTTGAACGGTTCTGTCTAATTGTATCTACGTATACTGGCATCACATTGGGCGACAAAGGTTACCGAATTGTTATACAATAGGCACTTCAGGTCTCACGGCGCTTATTTACTTCATTTTCAATTTTTCAAAATTGTTTTCTGCATATTGTGTGAACAAAGAACATTAAAACGCTAACTAGTCTTTGACTGTAGAGACATAGAAATAAGTGTGCTTGTTATTTACATGGGTACTTTGCACTACAAAGAGTTAACAACATGGAAATAGCGAAATAGTCTATATTTGAATTAATATTTTAATAGGAACATAAACAATTAACTTTCTTTTTGTGGTCATGGATTTACGCCTACTTAACAAGTCAATTTTCTGAACAGATTAAAGGTGATGAGGAGTAACAAAAAGCCGCTTCGTATTTGGTAATCCTTTTCCTTTTCTATCTCAATACAGGGAACCAAGGCTCTTAAGACCTTACTCTCTGATGAGTACCTTTCATGAGGTGTGCGTTCATGCTCATCAAACAACAAATGATGATTGTTATTGTTTTGGTGGAGGAAACATATCAACTATTGCTCATAAACTCTTGCACATCTATGACCAACCAAGTATGAAACAAAGCGTAGCTGAATCGAGTCATTTCGGTAATATATAACAACTATATTGTAGATTCGCTTACAGCGTAGCCGAATCGACATCGATTTTGTGGACAACTCGTACACATTTTACACCTTTGTGTGCATACGCTTCACTGGCCATTTGTCTGATGAAGGTGACAGTATACATAACGTACAAGTAATCGAAACGTCACATAGAAACCATTATTGGTTGTGTAAAAAGTACTTTTCGTGATGATTTAAGTTAACTACAAGAAAGTTTGTTTGAGCACAAAATCCATGCTTGAGTATGAGAACGGTTTCATGAATACATCAATACATAAATCTTTATATACATAGACCACCGCGTCAACATCAGAACTCAAAAAATATATGTAGTGTATGATTATCAATAGTGAACGTTTACTACA